TCACCTAGGATCACATTACACGAATTAATCAAGGGATTCATACCACAATCATTAGTATTCAAAGTTACATCAATGTTAAAATCTAGAGAAAGGCCACAGAAACAATTATTGAAGGAATTTTTAACTTCAAAGAGTACTTAAAAGACTACTGGAAGGAACAGTGTGAAAAAGTTGCACTATGGGAAGCTAAAAATAATATTGCAAATAGATTGAAAAAGAAAAAAAGAAAAAAACTAATTTAAAAAGGTGAGGAAAATAAGAGAATATAATGACAGTATAAAGGTTAGTAGAAACTAATGAAGGGAAATACAGTAAAATAAAACAAATAGAAAAGAACACAATACATAAATTTAGAATGTGGATTAACTTAGGATGCAAATATAATAATAATCATAGTTATATATATAATAATTACATCTGATGGAGTTTTGGCCATCAGTTCCTGATGTTACACTTAGGCAACGATGAGTTGGACCATAAAATGTTATTTTTAGTCAGTTTCAATAAATGCAAAATAAATTATATGTATCTTTAAAATTTACACCTAATTTATTAATAAAAGTTTATTGGAGCAAGTCTCCGTTGGATTTAAAAAAAAAACTTTTGATCACTTTTGTAAAAGTAAAAGTAATAATTGAACAAGAAATAATAATAATCATTCCAATATCAGATGGTATAGTGAATGTCTATATTTGAAATCCATATATATAATAAAAATACTTCCAACTCCAAGTCACTTTTTTCATTTGTATATTCACCAAGCAATAGAAACACTGTCAAGTGTATAGGATAATATAGCTTTTTCAATTTAAGAGAATGTTACCATAGTGTAAGTGTTTGAAATATATTTTGTTCAGCATTAAAATAATTAAATAAATGAAATAGGCTTCTTTGACAAAAACTAAAAATTTTTTATAAACACACCCATTATTTGTAATTTCATGCTCTATACTTAATGTTAAAATTTTATAATATTAAAAACATTACTTTATAATTGCATACAAAATTCTACAATATAGAATTGGGTAACAGATTAAATGAATTATTATCTGATTTATCTCATCTATCAGATCACTGAGTTGATGAAAAATAAAGGAGGCTCTATCAAAATAGGATAGGCAAAAATTATTTTGGTATAATATCTTGAAAGTCATAAATTTACGTTAAAATAATGATAATAACAATAAATGAAATTGTCTTTTGATTAATTACTTAATTAAACTAATCATTAGACCATGAAGATTGCTTAATCTATATTAAATAGATTATAATAGAATGATTCTAAAACCCTGAGAAAATAGACATGATGTCATAACGTTAATAGCTCCCGGATTTAGTTGTTTTCCTTAACAAAAGGAAACAGAAAGTATGGTAACTTTTTACGTAATGGAACTTTATGATCTTTAATTAATGGTATAAACTTCCACGCGAACAATTTTTGTACAATAAGACACCTGACATAAATAAACTCAATTCATTCCATCTTTGCCTTCAATATTTTTTTTTCTTCCCCATCATCAGAATCACTAGATCACTAGTGTTTTCATCATGGCCGGGAGGAGGTTCGTTCATTTTCTCAGTTTTTGTAATCCTTAATAATTAGAAACAAGATAAGTAAATAATGAAAGTAGGCAATTAAAATAGAAGATTGTGAAGGGAAAATATGGATAACCAATCATTATTTTAAGAATTGATAGATTATTATTATTAATGAGTTATACCATATTTATTATACTGTACATATAACAGATAATTACTAACGATTATTCTTATTAGAACCATAAAAATCACATTACTACTCCAAGTGCACCAATTAAAATCCCGAATGTCTCCAAGATCATAAATTATTTTTGAATTGATATATTTCTAGTTAGAGATGTTGCAGCTAAAATCTTTTAAAGTATAATACTTTGCTGTTGAAGAGATTTGCTTGATAATTCATTGATAAATAAATCAAAATGAGAATTAATAATAAGACTAAGTGTACAGTGATGTAATTTTTATTTATTTATTTGAAAATTAATGTGATAGATATGCAAATATTATAAAATTTAATAATTAATATTTAGAAATTCATATTATGATCGATAATCATTGAAATTTTTTTTCAGATTTCCATCCCTTACTATAATAGTATATTTGTTGTTTTCGCTCTTGATGTTTTTTAATTTTTTCAACATGAACTTGCATTTCTCCAAGCATCTTATTTAATTCTATTTTTATTTTTTATAATAAAAATAAGTAAAAAAGAAAAATAATATTATTATATATTATAATTATATTATCATTAATAAAAAACTATTAAATGTACATTACCATTTAGCTTTTCTTCTTCTGTATAATCAGATCTTGCCAATTTCAATACTGATGACTTCTCAATTTTCGGCTTTAGTTCGCAATATCGTTCATCTTGTGTTAAAAGTTTTTTCACTTCGGAATAATTGATATTTGATAATATATTAGTTTTTCTGTTAACTTCTGGATCACCAAAGATCGATAATACGAATTTAGCATCAATAATTGATGATGGTTTGATCAGTGATTCTTTTCGTTCCAAATTAATATCATTAATAACACTTTTCCCTTCTGAATTATTAAAATTTGAAAACTTATTAATATTATGTCAACTTCTGAATCAACGAAACTTGATAATAAATTTTGGAATGTCATACCAGTAATTGATGTTGTTTTGACAGATGTTGCTTCTTGTGTTAAAGTGTTTGAATTCACTTCACTTTTCTCTTCTGTATTATTGACATTTGAAAATAAATTAATATTAACTTCTGAATCACCAAAACTTGATAATAAAAATTCGAGTGTCGTACCATTAATTAATGTTTGGTCAATAATCAATGCGGGTTCAATGGTTGTTTCTTGTGAAAAATTATTAAGATTTATATTACTTTTCCCTTCCGTATCATTAGCATTTGATGATAAATTAATGTTTCTGTTAATTTTGAATTTTTTCAGATTTAAATGACGTAAAAAGTTTTTAGGCGATGAGTTAGACGCCGCTCCCGCTGATACTGGTTGCTGAGCTTGAGGATCTTCTGAATGAATCTTCGAAGAAGATCTTTTAAAAAATTTTCCCATCTATAAAGAGTCAAATTATACAAGATAATATAAATAATTTTAGGAACAATGGTATTAAATAGATACAAGATCATCAGAGGAAAGCCAAAAGAAGTGAAATTGGTAAAAAAAAAATCCATTTTAAAATTGAGATCTAAGATTTTTAAGTTCCTTTAAATGACTTTACTTACAGAAAAGTTCTTTTTTTCTCCAATTAATTTCATTTTTTAAGGACGATTATATTGAAATAGTTCAAAAAAGTATAAATAAGCAAAAATAGTTGAGTGCAATAAGATGATGAGAAGGATGATGAGAAGAGAGTTAGAGTAATATAATAGAGTAAGAGAAAGCGAATCTATTTTTTGTAGATCGTTATTAGAGCCAAACGTGATTATGAAGATCTTTTCTGTACCAACGATAATCGAATTACAATAATGACGAAACAGATCTGAAGATCAATTGATAGAGATACTATATAGTATAATTAATTTAATAATAAAATAATAAGATAGATATCATCTTTGCAAGAAATTTTACACTAAATAATTATGAAACATTCTCTATTGATTATTATTTAATGGTTATGTTTCTTTGTTGTTAGATTTATGATATTCACAAAGAATGCTAATTAATTATTTTTCTGTAATAGGTGAAATCAGAGACATCAAAAGTCTTTAAAAACTATTGGCAAAATACAATCAATGAAAAAGGACATATCAGCCAAAATTGCTTTATTATCATATTTGTATTGATTTTGTTCATTATGATATGATAAATAGACATCTGTAATCATTAATCAATTTCAAAGTTTCATATCTCATCTCATATAAAGAATTTCAAGGGACAGATACAGATCTATTACTAAAGAATGTTCGCGCACTTAGCCAGAAGAAGGTACTGCTCAGGAATATTTGTCAAATTCTTTGACTGAAACCCCTTAATACCTTGGACTAATAAAATTCTCAACATTCAAAATATATATGGTAGTTCATTTTTGATATAAGGATACATTAAATCATGAACTTTTGAGATGAGAACAAATTCGATATTGTTTGAGAGGGTGAATGTGTAAGTGCAGAAACACATAAGTACATAACAGATTATAGAAAAAGAAAGTTGTCAATGATTTGGTTGGTAGTTATCAGGTATAAGCAACTGATGATATAATGAAAACAGTGAAGAATTTTTGCTTAAACGGAGAAAGCAATGTATTTATCCAAAAAATTTGTAACATCTATCTGAAAAGTTTTATTATTTATCTACATCTATTCTATTTATTAAATCGCCAACAAAATCAGCGTTAGAGTACAGATAATCCAGTTGATGAACAAATCCAATTGTCTAAGTTCAAAACCTTGTTAAATTTATTTTACTCATTCAATCATTTATTTATTAAAATGAAAATGATTATACACATAGTAATACTAATCTAATAATGTTATCATAATGTACTCATGATAACTCTATGATAAAAATTATTTAACAAAAAAAATATTATCTATTTCTTCACATGAAAAAAATAACAGATAATAAGTGAATTCTCCAATGAGCCCTTTTCATTTCTAAAATGAAGTTCAAAAAAAAGTGATCGATAACCATTTTGTATTCGATATGACTATTTCGAGTGTTTTTTTGATATTTTTCAATAGTATGATTTTTTTGGTATAAGCTTGGAAAAGAACTATTTTTATAAAACTATATTTTGTTGCCATAGTACCCCTTTTGAAAATTTTGAATGTTTTTTAAAATATCCAGGTATTTTACATGGCATAAAATATATTGCCTTTAATTTCTATCAATTGTTTACAATACCCCTTTTGTTTTGATGTAAAGTACCCTGGTATAAAGAAAAAAGTCAAATTTTTAAAGACCTGGGGTACTATGGTCTGCAAAATATGCAATTAAAATATGGAATCCAAAAGTTCCGTGACAAATTTCCCTTCAAAAATAATGACAAAAACTAATAACATTCGTGTATTCATAACAGCTTCAACTAACATTCATGAAGATTCCATTTTTCATATCATATATACACTCCCCTATCAAAAGTATTTGCGGAATGATAAAATTCGAAAATAATTGCTAGATATAATTATTTTCGAATTTTTTTTTATTTTTTATAATTTTTTTTTAAATTTCGTTAGTTTTTATTCACGTCTAAGTGAAGTCAAAATTTTTATTAGGTACTAAGAAAACATCAATAATTAAAATTGTAGATATTATTTTTAGCTACAATTTTGTATAAGATTGTCGGTATCTATCTTTAATACCCATCGTATGCGGTATAGGTAACGATCTTTTTTTTTTTTTTTTTTTTTTTATATCCAACGGAGTCTTGCTCCAATAAACTTTATTAATAGATTAAGTGTAAATT